ATCAAAAAGTACCAAAATTAAATCAAAGACATTTAACGGAGATAGATACTGGAAATTATTCAACAGGATCATTAGGTCATGATCAAGCGGCAACAACAAATGATGCGTCAAATTTTCGAACTCAATTACCAGAAGAATTAACGGACGCTACGTACACGAAGAGAGAAAGTAAATCGAGACTTACTTCAACTCCGTTAGTGGATAGGGAGACATATAATTTAGGTCATACAGGAGATCAAAATTATCATCGACAAGATGATCAAAATTATGGTGATGAAGCAACCCGTCATAACACCCTTACTTCAGGATACCCAAACCATTATGAAAATGAATATAATGATATAGATTTCCCAGTGGTGGTAAAAATGCACGTCAATATTTGATTGTCAGTGACTTTGCTAGACCTGAGAAAAAATGAAAAAATGGATGCTGTTCTTGGTCAATTTGTTCTTATTTACTATATTGATCTTAATTGGTTTGGGCATTACTGCACTTTTTTGTTTGGCCTCGCAAAATTTAATGTTGATGTTAAAGAAGTTTTACCTGTAACATAACCAACAAATCCTCCTTACGATAATAGTAACTTTAATATGATTGTTGAAAATTGATAATTAAATTCAATAAAATTGATGTTGCGATTAGTTTAAAATAATAATGTATATCGTAAAAAACTCAAAATAAAGTTTAGATTTTGAGCTGAAGCGTAATTCGGAAAATCATATTCAGTTAATAAATGATGATGTCTAAACATCGTCTTAAATGTTCATTCAGAATATGCCAAGAAAATGTAGATACTTCAGAAAATCACGAATAAATTTCGGGAACCTTCTTAGGGTTATTTAATATCAAAAAATTAATACAAAATTTCGTTAAATGTTCTAGCGACTTAAATAATAAAACTTTTTTTCTTCATGAAATAAATGAACCAAGCAAATTGCATTAATTGATTTCCGTCCATATTTTTACCACCCGCCTATTTTCCACGTTTTAAGCATTGTTCCAACTAGGGATGTTAAACGGTCGAACAAATTAAGTTATAGAAAAGTCTGATCAATAAGTAACCGTTAAGTTGGGACCCAGTACTAAATTTCAAAAATAAAGGTTCTGGAATTTTATTATTTATTTTCCATAAATATTCCATTAATACATTAAACAGTAAAATAAAATCTTTTCTAGAACTGGCAAATTTATTGGGACTTTTAGAACCGCTTAACATCCCGGGTTCCAAATGTTTAAACCATACTAAACATTATCTCTGCTCAATGGTTTATATGCATCTAGATACTGTGAGTAACTACTATTTCTGCTAATAATATATATAAGACTGCATCATGATCCTCATCCCTTTGCCAACAGCATCTTCATAATTTAAATTTCCAATGTTATATTTGAAGGTTATTTTTCAACGTCTCGATATCATTAACATCAAGACTAAATAAGCTTTATAATATTTAGTCTTGATTTAATTATGTTTTGCGTATGCTTCGAAACATTTATACGCAGCACTTGTTTAGCGACTTAATCATTTCTATCAGTGATATATGATTTTATGATCGAGGACCATCTTCCAAGGCGTCTAATTTCTGTATGGTTGGTAACTGCATACTGACCAACCATAGACGCCAGTCAGTTACTATAATTATTAAGTGTAAAGAAAAAATTAATTAATTAGTAATTTTATAAAACTATCATAATTTCTAAAAGGATCTTAAAGCTATTTTCTTTGAAGACGCCCTCCTATTCCTGTATGGTTGGCCGTATATTCATCAATCGTAGACGTCAGGTCAGTTACTATAATTATTAATTATTTATTAGTAAAATTATAAAACCTTAAGTTTCTCAACGCTATGATATTTGACAATATAGTAGAATACTATCTTCGAACACGTCCAATTCTTGTATGGTTGGTAGTCGCATATTATTGTGATAAGTTAAATTAGTTAAATTGAGTTGTAACATTTTAAATAGCTGGTTTATTTATATAAACTCCTAAATTTTTTTCGTCTTAGATTTATGCAAACATATTTTTTTAATTAACGAGTTTTACGAATACCAGTGGTGTAAGGTCGACTCAGTATGATAATCAATTTGTACTACATCTGAGATTTGCGAAATAAATTTTTTATTCTTTTACGCGTCTTGCGTTTGAATTTTTTTATAAAATTTTAAATTCTTGATGTATAAACGAAATATGTATTATATTTT